GAGGAGGAGGAGGGAAGGAAGAGGAGGAGGAGGAGGAGGAGAAGAGGAGGAGGAGGAGGAAGAAGAAGATGTAATAATATTGTTCCCTTGAAGCAAGAAAAAAAAAAGTCCACCCCATGACAGTGACAAGATAAGGGGAGATAACATCTGATAAGAGCTGACTTTGATGAGCGTAAAGGAGGGTAATATTACATGACCATCACCCTCCCTTTGTTTTTGCTGGTACACAAACATTTCTGTCTGTTTATTTGTCTGTCTGTCAAGCTCCCTGTCTGTCCATCTAGCTCTCTGTCTCAGAGAGAGCCACAAGACTGTGTCATCACGTTTACTCACATCTTCAAGCAGAGTATAGCACTTTGTCTGGATTTCTTGGGTTATCCTAGGTAATTTACACTATGTATACTTGTATTTATGTGTACCTGTGAGACAGAGATAGGCAGACAGATAGAAAGAGAGACAGATTGAAAGATATAGAATAAGGGAGAAAGATAATTAGATAGAATGGAGGAGGGGAAGCAGCATCCGACCCCATTGTTTTGACAGGCGGTAGGGGGAGTGACTAATGAGACAATATGTCACTTTGACAGCTGCCGACTTCTGACTCAAAACAATTATAAGCCACACACTTGCACACAAGACAAGGAGGAGGAGAAGGAGGAGGAGAAGGAGGAGGAGGAGAAGGAGGAGGAGAAGGAGGAGGAGGAGAAGGAGAAGGAAAAGGAGGAGGAGGAGGAGGAGAAGGAGGAGGAGGAGGAGAAGGAGGAGGAGAAGGAGGAGGAGAAGGAGGAGGAGGAGAAGGAGGAGGAGGAGAAGGAGAAGGAGGAGAAGGAGAAGGAGGAGGAGGAGGAGGAGAAGGAGGAGGAGGAGGAGGAGAAGGAGGAGGAGAAGGAGGAGGAGGAGGATGATTGTTTGTTTTTGTAAACAAGTTTTGTAAACAATATATTGATAATTATGTTTGTGTGCTTATTGTGTTGTATACAACGAGTGTATATATATACATTGCACCTTACTTTGGTCTCATAGGCCACATAAGTTATGTGAAAAAATAAAATAGTGAAAAAAACAAAAAACCTTCAATTACAAGTAAACTAAAGTTTACCGGGTGAGCGGCAGTTGCCGCTGTTGCCATACGCGGCTCATTTTCTGCAAACTTCACGGCTCTATATCTCGGTAAGTACCGATGGCAAAAATTTTTTTTTTGGACTAAAACACTCAGAAAAATAATCTTAACATTTTCATAAGAAAAAATAATTTTTTTTTTTTTGAATATTTGGCGACATAGAATGACAGTTTCAGAGAGGGGCCTGAAACAGTCAAAGGGTTAAAATGTATTATTTACACCCAGGATTACCTAAGAAAGTCAGACAATGTAACTTATTGCCATGTTTTGAGAAATATCACACTCTGAATCAGTTCTAATAATACATAAGATTTCCATGTAAACCTAGAGAGGGTTTTGGGGGTCATCATCCTCCTGGTGGATCAGGGTCTGATCAACCAGGCTGTTACTGCTGGCCGCACGCAAACTGACGTATGAACCACAGCCTAGCTGGTCAAGTATTGACTTTAGGTGCCTGTCCAGCGCCTTCTTGAAGACAACCAGGAGTCTATTGGTAATCCCCCTCATGTATGCTGGGAGGCAGTTGAACAGTCTTGAGCCCCTGACACTTACTGTAGTCTCCCAAGGTACTCGTGGTGCCCCTGCTTTTCACTGGGGGAATGTTACATCTCCTGCTGAGTGTTTTGCTCTCATAGGGAGTGATTTTCGCATGCAAGTTTGATACTAATCCCTCTAGGATTTTCCAGGTGTATATTATCATGTATCTCTCTTGGCTACATTCCAGGAAATACAAATCAAGGAACTTCAACCTTTCCCAGTAATTTAGGTGCTTTATCGTACTTATGTGTGCCGTGAAAGTTTTTGTACACCCTCCAGGTCAGCAATTTCGTTTGCCTTGATGGGGGCAGTTAGTGTACAGTAGTATTCCAGCCTAAAGAGAACAAGCGATTCGAAGAGAATCGTCATAGGCTTGGCGTCCCTAGTTTTGAAGGTTCTCATTATTCATCCTATTATTTTTCTAGCAGATGCAGTAGATACATTGTTGTGGACTTTGAAGATGAAATCCTTTGACATTATCACTCCCAAGTCCTTCACATTACTTTTTCACTCTATTGTATGGTTAGAATTTGTTGTATACATGTACCCTGATACAGTTTTAATTTCCTCAAGTTTTGTGTATCTGAGTAGTTGAAATTTCTCTTCATTGAACTTCATATTGTTTTGAGTGGCTCACTTGAATATTTGGTTGATGTCCACTTGGAGTCTTGTGGTGTCTTCAATGGAAAACATTGTCATGGCAATTCAGGTATCATCCACAAAGAAAGACACAAAGCTATGGCTTACATCTCTGTCTGTGCCAGATATGAGGATGAGGAACAGGATGGGAGCAAGTACTGTGCCTTGTGTGTATACTACATCTGTATTTTGTTTATCCTCTCTGTAGCATCCAGGACCTTCTCATAGTGGTCCAGTAGCTGGGACAATATAAATTGTACCAATTTATATTGTATATTCCATATGGGAGATGGTAGTAGGTTGGTAGATAGCAACCACCCAGGTGAGTGTGAAACAAACTTTTAATTGTTTTACATGATGGTAGGATTCCTACCATCATGAAAATCATGTAGACTACCATCTTTTTTCTGTCTCATAAATACATGAGATAACAGCTACTTCTACTTTCACTTAGGTCATACTACACATGCATGTACATGCTTATATATACACACACGATAGCTGACTCGACCCCTGCAACGACAATTAGGTGAGTACACCCATCTGGGGTTTCTTCTATTTTCTTAATAGTTCTTGTTCTTTTTTATTTCCTCTTATCTCCATGGGGAAGTGAAAGAGAATTCTTCCTCAGTACGCCATGCGTGTCATAAGAGGCGACTAAAAGCCAGGAGCAAAGGACTAGTAACCCCTTCTTCTGTATAAATTACTAAATTTAAAAAGAAAAACTTTCATTTTTCTTCTTAAGTCACCCTGCTTTGGTGGGATATAGTTTTTTTTTTTTTTTAAATTCCATATGGGACTATTTTGGGCTAAGCCTTTTTCCTTGCATTGAGTACAGTGTTAGATATCAAAAGCAAATTATAAAAGAAAAAATAATAATTTAGTGTCAGTAAATTGCAGAACATATGTATCATTTAGCACATTTACATAGCCATTGCCATCATATAAAATCGTAAGTTTTCTTTTGATTTAATTTCTTTTTTCAGAGTTCTATTTAGAAAAATATTCTCTCTAGAAAAATATTCTCTCTCAACCTGTAATTTTTGTTTCACAATTGATTCTCACTCTCTCTCTCTGGGTATGCCATAGTTAAAGGGTTAAATATGAACATAAAAGCATATTCTAGGTCTTCTGGTCCTCCTGCAATCTTGTAATTCATCTGTCATCTGCTGGTACATAGTATATGACATCTTGGCCATCCCTGGTTTAGCACTCAAAATTAGAGACGTCCTTAACTGCCATTCATTATAATATGGAGTAATATTCAGTTAAGTGCTATGATAAAGGTTAATGACAAAGAAAACTATTTATTCATACTTATATTTCATACAAGTATTTACAATGGATATCTTCAAAACAAATTATGATACTTTATACAAATGGATTTTTGTGAAAACATATTTTTTGCACCAGATGTATCTTGCTTCCCTAATTTAAAATTATCTAATTATTGTTTAAGGCTCTGGATAAATATTTATGTTTTCAAGATATTTAAATAATTTTATCTGCTAACTAGCTGTGAATCAGGTACACAGCATTTCAAATTATTATTCTTGTGCTTTGAAGACATTTTCTAATAAGTATAATATATTACAATAAATTATTACTAAAATTTAAACTGATCATAAATCCAATTACATTTATAAAAATATAAAAAGTTATGCCTGAATCAACACACACACAGCAACAACAAACTGAATGAACACAATTATGAACTTCAAACTGGATGCACAAGTGACAATGGAATTATTTACACCACTGGTAAGAGTCAGAAACATGAGAGAGACAGAAATATGAGCAATAAAACATTAATTAAAAATATTCAGTTATAACATATACACATATCAGTGTATGAAATATTTAAATGTGTTGGAGTGAATCTGGATAAAAACTGGCTATAGGTTGCAATGGCACAATCTTGCCTGGAGCAAGAGATAGAATGAATGATGGGAATATCAGATTTAAAATAGTTTGTAACATGCACATGAGGGAAAAATATTTGGAATGTAACCACAACAAGTTCTTGATAGAGAGCAGAGGCAGCAGTTCGTAATCGCAACCCACATTTTCATCACCACCCGAGAGTTCCAAGATGAAGTTGAAGGCTGAAGGATAAACGACTGTAACTGGTTGAAAATATTAATTATCCCCAGGTGGTGATTACAACTGGTTTGTAAAGGAGCTACTGCATCAGATGAGAGGTTGATCTTTGGTGTTTAGGGATGTTCAGCATCAAGCATTCTTCAATACCTAGTAGGGAAACAGGAAACTTAGAAGTCCTGTATGGTATATTACTAATAAGAATTAACAAAATATACATATTCAAATTGTACAACATGCCATAGAACTGCATGTGAATTTAATAAGAACAGTCAATTTGTAATTTTCATATTACAGTTAAATATAGTTTTAGATATAAAAAAAAAAGTTCCTGACAATGCAAAACAGAAATTTCTTCCAGCACTGGGTCAAAACTTTGGAAGCAAAAATTTCAGATTATGAATAATAATTTAACAGATAAACTCATATCTTAGCTAATAACAAAAGATATACTATATTGTATATGAAATTTATATATATAAAAAATTACTGTGTTTTGCACTTTTATAAGGTTGATCAATATGTCAGATAAATAAATGCATGACATAACATTTACACAAGATGCTTGAAGAACCTGAGTAGGTTTACAAGACATTATCTTGACTCACCTTTCTTTCTTCTCTTCTCTTGAACTTTGTCTAATAACAGTTGGCTTGGCACTTGATGGTGAGTCTCTTTCAAATATGGCTGCCATATCCCTAATTCGTCTTTGTTGACCAGTGTTCCCTCTAGTGGCTGCATTCCCTGCAGCAGCTAGTGCACTTGTATCACTACTGCCTTCTCCCAGTCTGCCTATTTTCTTAGGAGCATTTGCAGGAGGAGGAGGAGTTGCTTTTGGAATGCCAGAGGAAGATGATTTTAAAGCTGCAGGTGGTGATGGAACTGTTTTAGAAATGCTAGGTGAAGATGGAGCAGCTTTAGGAATAGAAGTTTTTCTTACTGGTGACACAGGAGGAGTAGAGTTTTTCGTTATTGATTCCATTCCTGATTTTTGGTCTTGTTTAATATTAGCTTTTTCACTTTTGGTGTCTTTTTCCAATTTATCCAAGTTGGGAGGCTTTTCTTGACTCTTGGCCCATATAGCCACTCGTTCTTTAACATTAATATCTTCATCAATGTCATCCTTTGAAGTTCTGCAGCGTCCACTACCCCGAGTGCTAGCTGATCTATGAAAAGTTGGAGTACCAGAGGGAGATTTTATGGGACTAATTGGGGCTGAGTTTTTTCTTAATGGACTAGACTTTGAATCACCACTGCTAGAACGACTTAGTATTATTTCCTTGTCCGGAGACTGCCTTAAACTTGAACGTGGGTTTATGTCATTTGATCTATTGCTGCTGTTGCTACAACTACTACTGCTGCTTCTTTGAAATGTAGGAGTTGGACTTTCAGAAGAGTAGCGAGTCCTTGTAGGACTCTTCAGCTCCCCTACTCTTCCCATGTCACTTAGGCTTCTTCTAGCAGGCGAGGCTCTTTTGAATACCAATTCATCACCCTGTTCTCCCTTTTTCTCCGTTACAATTTGCGAGGCTATGCTATATTTTTCAGAAGCAACTGTGTCCCCTAGCTGTTTAACAGGGCTAGTTTTTCCAGGTAATGATTCGTGAAGTTGTTTTGTTGGACTAATACTTTCTCTTCTTCTCGGACTTGCACATTTAATCTCGGAACTTTGAGTAATCTCATCGTCATTTTCACCACACTCTTCTTCTGGCCGAGATGGACTTGTGGCCTTCTGCTTAAGTCTCATAATCATTTCATCTTTTTCTCCACGGAAGCTCTCCGACTTGTACTTTTCTCTTAAAAATGACCTTCTTTCTTTTTTATATTGTTCAATTCTCTCTCTCTTCTGTGGGTCCATGAGATCAACATTACTAAGAATACTGGCAAGTTCACTTGTTGTGGTATCCTCGGCCTCCTTTGTTAAATTTTCTTGAGTAACTATGCCCAACTTAGTGTCTTTGGATGATGACCTGAAATCTGGAGAACTTTTAAATCTTTGGAAAGCAGGAAATTGTGAGGATATGGGCTTACATTCAGTCAATTTTTCAGAATCTAGGCTTTCAGGTTCTGTAGGCAGTGCTGATTCAGATGCTTCACCTTCTGTAGATCGTATTTGAGACTTAACATCACCTAAGTTATGGTGAACTTTAAGATCAAATGAATGACCTGATTCAGCTGTTTCACACTGAATATTAAATGGCAATTGACTAGGTTTAAATACTGGGGAAAAAGATGCATTTTCTTCAGTTGGTGTTGCCTGGGCAGATCCATTGCTGGGTGTGCCTGGAGTGGCAGGAGAGTCTGGAGAGATAGACACTGATGATGGTGTCGAGACTGGTGAAATTAAGGGTGAGGATAAGTTCAGTTTAGGTAACTGACGTGGCCGAGGCACAGGAGCAACAATAGGCGTGTGACGAGGAGTAGTTCTGGGCCAAGGAGCAGGACTAATAATACTTGGGAGTGGTAAAGCTCTGTTTGGGGTAGATGTTGCAGCTGGAGGAACTGGAATATTTTCTGGAGTGGGTGGAGAGAGACTTGGCAATATAGGTGGTAAGGTACAAGAAGATGAACAGTGATCCAGTGTTTCTTGTATAGGTTTAGGAGAACTGGCATCATCACTACTCACTGGTGATGTAACATCATCTGTAGTAGACTCTGTTGGTGAAGCAAAAGATGGGAGAACTAAGACTTCCGTTGCCATGCTTACTGATGAGGGAGTAATGGGTGAGTCTAAGCATTCACTATCCTCACTAGGCTGAGTATAAATTTCAGTATCTAAAGCAGTCACCTCAGGATCCAGTATAGAGTCTTGAGAACAAGGCAAGGGTTCATAAGTTTGGGAAACATTCATGTTGCCCATTTGAGGCACCTGTACTGGAAGCTCTGAAGAATTCTCAGGTAAACCCATAACATGTGCAGTTGTACCCAGCTCTTTAACACTCAAAATGCCAACATCTGACTCTTCTAATGCACGCGGTTTTTCCTCCTGCACCTTCAGCATGTCATTCACCTCTTGTATAGATTTCCTAAGGAACTTGACTTGCTGGTATACCATTTCCCCTTCAATCTCAACTTCAGTTTTATCATCACTTACTGTTTTTTCAGGAAGGGTAGACACCTGAGAACTAAATTCTACATTTTCATAATTTGGGTGATCCCTAAATGAATATTCTTCATATGCATCATCTGTATCAGGCACAATCTGGTCATGTTCATCACTACTTTCTTCTAAATTTTCATACACTGGTAAGGATTCCTTAGCAGGGGATTCAACATTTTCATATGCACTATCAACTACCATATTTTCACGATCCTCTGTTATGTCAACATTTTCATAAGAAACATCACTTGAAGCACTGTTTATATATTTCTCATCGTTTTTGCTTCCATTCTCTGTTTCGTATTCCACATTTTGATACTCAGGTCTGTATTCTACATTTTCATACTCGGCACCGTACTTAACGTTTTCATACACAGAATTGTAATTATAGTTCTCATAATCTACATCAGAGCATGGAAGCTCTGATGCCACCAATAATACTTGTCCACCTGTTTCACAAGTCTGAAAACTAGTTTGGGAAGACTGAACACTTGGCAGAGAAGACTGTGGCAAGGTCTCGTCAAAAGGAGAATCTACCACCTTCAAGGGAAGTCCTGAGCTACTTGTGTCTACATTTTCATACATTGGACCTTCTTCAGTTTGATCATCACTACTACTCAAGTCTATCGATAATGGACTTGACTGCCGAGGCTCATCAATAGCAGGTGGGTATGGCATTGGCTGTCCTACACCTACTAAGTCCTGGACAAACTGGGACTCGCTAGGGGTGGAAGGTTCAGTTGTGTCACTCAGTGGGTGATACTGAATCTCTAAAAATGTGGAGTCGCCCTGAGGAGTCTCTGGCGAAGTTAGTGCTGACCCTAAATTTAGAAGATCTGCCGTCGGAAGTCCCAGTAACGAACTGGGACGAGGTTTCGGAAGTTCTTGTTGCGGGGTTAAGTCTTCTTGCACTGGTGTTACAGGGGTAACTGGAGCAATAGGAAGATTCTGTTGTGTCTCAGGTTTCTCACCAATTATGGCAACTGAGAGTTCAATAGGAGTTACTGAAGTATAAGATGGAACCAGTGTGTTAACTGCATCTGCCAAAGATTCTCTGCCATACCCCACAATTCCTACTCCACTACTACTGCTTCCTAATGTGAAACTCTCATTATCTGATACAGTGGCTTCTGCAAGTGAGGTGCTGCTTACTTCTGATGCACTAACTGAAGGAGAAGTTCTTAAGTGTGTAATTTTATCTAATAATTCTGGATCTATAAGTGCATAGTCCATACTATTTCTTGATGGAGTATCATCACATTCTTGGCTTTCTTCTGCCTCCACATGTATTTCTGCTGTTATTGTTTCTCTACTTTTGTCATGCTCTGGTAACAATCTAGCACCACTTAAGAAACTAGAGATTTCTGGCTTTAAAGAATGGCCATCCAATTTTAAGGTCTGACCTTCTTTAGTGTCCACCTCTGCTGTACGAACATGCTTAAATTTTGGAGAACTACTGGGAGAAGTTGGTCTTGGAGACGTTTCTGTCCGTCGACGAGAGGTTTCAGGGCTGAGAGCATGGACAATCTTATCCTTAAGAGATGCTGAAGCCCTTTTTAAACTGTTGTTGCACGAATCTTCACTGGAATCACTTATACTTGGATCAGTTCTCCGGTGGGTGGGTGGTGAAGTAAATCTGTGTTTAAACTTTTCTTTGAGAGACTTTTTTTCGGGCCCTGGGACTCAAATTTTCTTTGCTCCTCCCACTCTCTGAGCACATACTTAAGTTCTCCATATCTAAAGTGGAACTGGACATGTTATCCGGATCTTCAACTGAAGTTGATTTAAGAGTATCTACTTCAAAGCCTTTTAGGTCTTTTTCACTGTTTACTAAAGTTCAAATCAAGTTCACTGATATCCAAGTATATTCTTGAATTGTCTGGCGAGAAATCTATATCACTCTCACCTTCCTCTTTTACTGGTACTTGTGAAGGCACGTTATTTAACACGGCTTTCCAGGGTGTTAAAGTATGAATCGTGGGAAACCGAGCGATTATGCGTGCGGGGAGAAGGTATGGGACTCGACATGGAGCTGCTTCTGCTTTCACGTTCATCCTGAGGAGATTTTTCGTACTTCTCCCACATTAAAAACTCTCGTTTTTCTGGTGATTCCAGTGCCTAAAAGAAAGATGACAACTATTAAATAGGAGACAACAAATACTATTATAACTACTGAAATTATGGAATTTTTAATATACAGTGTATATACTGTATAGTTCTTTCAGTGGTGTGAAGGGTTCTTGATCCAAGGAATTAGTTACCCTCTCCTTGAATCAAATTTCACTTTCCTTCATTCCCCAGCAGTGTATGGCCCCTGCAGGTTTTAGTGCTTGCCCTAGAATAAAATAATAAAAAACTGTATACTAAAACTTTTTAATAAAAGTTTTGAGCACTTTCTTCCTATTGGACCTGCATTATTCTTTAAAAGTAAAATATGGCCTGCCAATTAAAACAATGTATTAAATCAGTCTTTGAAATGACATCATAACAATATTTGTAAGGCTGAATAATGGGAAAAGCTAACAGGTTATAGAGATGCAGTAAGCTGTAACAAGGAAAACTGTGACAATTCAGTGGTATTGCAAAACAGTGGTTTTATATACATGTATATTTTTTTTTTTCAACCGTCAGTCGTCTCCCACCAAGGCAGGGCGAACAAAAAAAAAAATCTAAAAAAAGAAAAACACCCCCACCCGACTTAAAACCCTGCTGACAAAAGGCACTCGATTACAACCTGTTTTTTATGCCGAATTTTCTGGGAAAAAATCCTCTTCAAGGGGGGCTCCTTGTTGTGGGAAGAGGCTCTTGGTTGGGGAATCAGACCTGTCGGTTCCTTCCCTAAAACCCTAACCTAATTCCCCCCCAATACCCCCCCCCTATTCCCTCCTCCCCTTTTTCCCTTTTCCCCCCTCCTCTCCCCCCCCCTCCCTTTTTTCCCCTTCCCCTTTTTTTGGGCCTTTGGGATTTTCCCACAGGCACGCTATTCCTAGGTGGGAAAGGATCCGGGGTCCCTCCCATTCCGTTAAGGTTCTTGGCGGTGGCGAGTTTTTCCCTGGAATTGGATCGCCCGGGGATGTCCGACCTCTCCCCGGGATCCCCGGGGAAATAGCTTTGGGTTTTCTTTCGGGCGACGGGTGTATTCTGGAAGCCACCTTTTCGGATTCCCCGGGGGTGGTGGCAAGGAGGTATGCTTTTGGCAGTATCCGGCCGCCCTCTCTTTTGTCCACCCAGGTAGCTCGCAGATGTGAGGTTGCTATCCTGGGTTTGGTTTACGGGATGAAGGGTAGGGTATGGCCGGGTTTTTAGCTGCTCTGCTACTAGCGGGGCTGAGGTCCCCCCTGGGTGGGAGGGAGATTTCTGGCCCTTTCATTCCTCTGGGGGAATTTCCCCCCCGCTCCCCCCTTTTTTTATTTTTTTTTTTTTTTTTTTTTTTTCTTTTTTTTTTTCTTAAAAACAAAAAGCAAAGGGGTAAACCCAACCATGGAGAACCCAATCCATGAACCTGCCCCGGGCCCCTTTTTGATACCCCACCCCATTTTTGACCCTGCCCTTGTTTTTTGACCACTCTTTGGACACTCCCGATGCCCGTACCTCTTTTTGGTGCTGTTTCCCCCACCCCCTTAGGGTTTCCCGGGGTTCGACTGACTCTTAAATTTGTTGCCTCCCCCCTTTTCCTTTACTATCTTCGCCCTCCCTTAGGTAGGGCAATTTGAATCACAGCCCATTTCACCCCGGGACCAACTGGTCCCTATCCTAAACGCCAACGTCAATCTCCGATGAGCTCCTTCGTTCCCTTTCCCCCTTTACTGGAAAAGACGACACGTCTTGCCCCCCTTCCCGCTCTTTGGACCACACAATGGACAAAAATTCTTTTTTTTAAGACCGATTTTCTTTGCCCTCTTCTGACCATTATTGGAAAAGCGCTCCTGCTCATGTTGGGGTAGAGTATTTCATTTCATGCCTAAGAGCGTACGCGCTCGTCACTGCAAAATTACCCAAGCTCATGCTTTCTCTCCTTTCAATTTTTGATACACTCCTATCACATTGAAAAACATTTTCCTAAATTTTGTAGTGGGTACTGCTTTTTCCCCCCCTACCATAGTCAACAGAATTTCCAGTCATGTGGCATGACATCTTGAACAGCTCGAATCGGGATTCCCAATCCTCAAAGAGACACTTATGCCCTTTCCCCCCGTGGGGGAGCGTTCCCCCTTGCAATGTGGCTCGTTTAACTTTGACGCCGAGAACTCCTGTCCTCTGTATAGTCGCGGGAACGGTTACAAGTTCGAAAGATGATAACCGCAACAGTGTAGAAATTTGCGGGCGTTTTGGCCCCCAGCGAAAATTGCGATCTATCCCAAAATGCCCGTCTGTGGTCCCAACGACCTTTTTTTAAACTTTTGCAGTCAGGGGGGGATTAAGCATGGGGAAAACTAGGCATTTCCCCTGGGGGCCCCCGCACGGGGGGGCCCCTGGGTCCAAGGGGTTCAGGGGCTACCCAAGACGCGAAAGGTGAAGTGCAAAGGGGTCTCTCCCAAAAAGTTAAAGTTTTGGGAGAGTAAAATTGATTTTTAAAAATTAATCAAAACAAAAATAAATAATAAATAAAAATAAAAAAAAAAATAAAAAAAACCATAGATGGCAACACTAAACACGCCTTTGTTTACATAAAAAGCTTTTTGTTTTCCGTTAAGGGGTGGTATGGGAGTTTCCTCCCCATTTTCTGTAGAAATTACAATTATCTAGATTGTACTGTGAAAAATTAACTGAAGGTTGTTGGAAGACATTGGTGTAGGGATAAATGTTTGTTTTCCCCTCTAAAGTTAAGGGGGTACCTGATGGTTTTACTTGCCAGAAAAGATGCATGGCAGTAAAGAAGCTTTTTTTGGTAAAAATACTATAAAGAAAAACCAAAAACGCAAACTGACTTCCGTTTGTATTTTTTTAAAAGCCTTTGTCCTGTCTTTAAGTCTTTATCTTTAAAATAACAGTCTAAATTTGTTTGGATGTTCTATTTTCCCCGCCCGCAAATCTTGTTTTCAATTTTGCGACGGAAGTGAGTAAACACAATTTTTTTATAAAATTTTTTCCCGAAACACAAAAAGCCACTTAGAAAATCGTTGGTTGGGTGAAACTAAAAATTGCCCCTGCATTTTTTAAATTCTCATGTCCTTTCTAGGGTGGTGGGCCCCAATATCATGCAAAAAATAATGATTTTTTAGTTATAAAATGGTAATATAATCCATTGGGGCATTGTTTTTGGGGTGGAAATTTTTTCTGTTTAAAAAAATTTGGAGTCAAGGGGATGAATTGTAAAATATTCATACCCCAAATCACAAACCTAATCTATGGTAAAAGTTTGTTAGGGACCCCTTTCTGGTAACTTTTTTGAATTTTTAGATGCACACCCAGAGGAAAGGGGGCTAAAAAGGGCCTTTCCCCCCCAATTGACAGAAAAAAAATTTAATAAAAATTTAAAAAAAATTTAATAATAATTGATAATGAAAAATTTGTTTTGCATGATTACAGACAGTGATACATCTCTTAAAGGGGCACCCTCGTGAAGTGATTTTGGGGACGTTCTTATGCGAGGGGTCACAAAAAGAAAGAAGAAAATTAAGAAAAGAACAGAAAAAGAAAGATGTAGGAAGCGCAAAAGATCACGACAGCTCCAAAAACATTTTCTGATGTTACCAGTACAGTTGAATCTGAAATACGTCAGTCATGGGAAGCCCCCCCTCCAATTTCTCAGCCAGCACTACTTCTTTTGTGTTCCCCCAATGTCTAACGGAATTTCTCCACGGATTGTCTTAAAAGATCCTCCCTCATGGCCAAATGTAACCCCGATTTCTGAAATGCTTTCATTGCAAAAAAACTTCGTCAAACTCGAACATTGATTTAAAACGCAAGGTTTTATGATGATGGAAGTGTGTTTTTAAACACTATTTTTTATAGGAAGCTTGAAAATTTCAGAAACTGTGAAAAGATCATAGAGGGATACTCTGAAACTCAGGAAAAGTGTACTGTTCAGCAGCAAGCTATTTTTTCCCAAAGAAAATACCTTCACACAGGGGTTCAATGACGGGAAAAAATTCCAAAGGGTTTCGAGGAAAACATGAAAACAGCACCCTCACAGGAGCTGCTTTTTAGCCGTGTATTTCGTGCACAGAAAAAAGGGCTTATTGGATTCTCATTTGGAAAATCAAACAAAAAAAGAGCGCACTTTTGAAAAAAATTTTTGAAAGGTTGTTGCTGTTGAAAAAATTCTTAGCTCTAAGGGACTTCCCTTTCCCGTGGGAAAAGAGGTTTTTGGTTCGGAAAACAAGGCAATTTCTGGGTCATAGAACTTTTTTGCACAATTCGATCCATTCTTAGAAAATCATGTGTCACCCCTTTGGGAAGCAGGAAGGGCACTGATCTTACATGTCATCTATATATGCAATGAATTTATTTTAATATGACTAAAAGGTCCTCAATAACATCATAGCAGCTGTGAAAATGCAAAATACTTTGCAATAAGTGTAGATTCAACACCCGTATTTACATCAGATCAATTGACATTATTTTCCTTGTCGATCCTGGTTTAAACCTGTGAGCCCTTTATAAAAATTATTCCCCTTTCAGGGCCTGTGGAGAAACATGATGAATGAGTACTGGTCTCTGTTGAAAATGATTCTTTGCCCTGGCCAGGCTCACAATGCAAGTAACATGTCAGGGAAAATAATGGTTTTCAAGCCCGTACAAGCAAAAACAACCCCCTTGCTGAATATGTGCCCTGCTAGCACATTCTTTAATCTTGTTGGGTCATGGGCGAGTGTTGTGTCGCTGCAGTTTTTATTTTTTTTTGGGCTTTTTCAAGCACTCTTTAAATTTTTTTTTGCTTCAACGCATCGGGTGGAGATACTCAAGTCCCCTTTTGGAGATGTTAAAATTATCCAACAAGGGGGTCAGCGCAAATGATGCAACCATGCTTAAAGACAGCTTTGCTGAAATACGCTCTGCTTTGATCCAAAAGCAAGGATGAAAACCAGACACAATAAAAGAAGCGAAGCACCGAGCTTAGCATCAAAATTGGAAGATTTTGAAAGGCCTTATCTGTGTGCTTTGGGGCTGTATAC